TTTTTTTTTTTTCAGAATGGGGGATTGAGCTCAGGCCCTTGTGCTTGCCAAGGAAGCGCTTATTCCACTGAGCCATCTCCCCGGCCCCAGTTCTCTTTTTTATGCTGCTGGAAGAAATACTCAGGTGGGCCCTCCATGCTGTCACCACACTGACTCAGTTCAACTGGGTGTTACAAACTGACCATTAGGTAATCTACCACATTCCAGAAGGATAGGTTGTAGGTTTGCCGATTTGTGCCACAGAATTGTAGAATGAGAGTCCTCAAAGAGTTTATGAGGCAGAGGGCAGGCCAGATAGCTCAGTGGACTAAAGAGCCTGCGCAATGGACCAGGGTTTGATTCTCATGCTGTGCTGGCCCTGCCCACCGGGGCACTCTGAGATGGAGAATGAGACTGGGCATGGTGGCACCCCCTGTAATCCCAGAGTTTGGGAGGCTGAAAACAGGAGGATCACTATGAGTCTTACCTTCGATCTGCATAGTGAGACCCTGGAGATATATAGTTTATTAGGCAGAGCCAAAGACGTACACAGTCAGGCAGTAGAGTACAAGCCCTAGAGAGACACTTTGTTGTCAGGGGTTGCAGGTTTTCATCGTGCAAGGAACAATCTGGGGTGAACAGGTCACCTACTTCTGGGTTGGGTTAGAAGGCAGACCATTGTGTGAGTGTGAAGCTTAGAGCTGCTGTGCACCTCCCAGGGTTGCTTCCTGAATGCTGTCAATCTATGAGAAGAAAGAGGCTCAGGAATGGCTAAAATGCATGGGCCCAATTTACAGGCTTCTGCCACCCTTAAAATCATTTTTTTTTTTTTTTTGACCCTGAATCAGGGGGCACTTTAGCTCTGGTTACTTTGTGTCCTACAGCTGAAGTTTTTCTTAAAAACTGTTTCAGTTACTCTTCTCTTGTTACTGTTCTCTCCTTCCTGCGACAAAATATCTAACACCCAAAATTAAGGAAGGAAAGGTTTATTGAGCTCACAGTTAGTGGAGGTTTCAGTCCATACTGGCTGGCTCCTAGGCAGAGTGGCACACGGCAGAGGGCAGCAGTTCATGGTGGTGGAAAACAGCAAAACAGCAAGAGCAAATGGGAGGAGTATCAGCAACAATGACAACAGAAAGCAAGTCTGACTCCCTTGCTGCATTCAGGCTATGCGCCCTAGGCTGAGTGTGGCACCCATAATCCCAGCAGCACTCACACCAATAATCCTAGCACTGGATCAGGAATTAATCACAAACACTAGAAGCCCACCCCACAACTGCATGAAGCTTTGGGGGGACAACTACACACAAACTTTAACAAAAACACAATTTTAAAATTATGATTTCTTCCCCACTCCCTTTTCTCTTTTTCCCTAAGTCTCCCCTCATACCTGGGGTTGTACCCGGGTTCTTTTACACTGAGCTACATCCCCAACCAACCTTTTTTATTTTTTAATTTTTCAGGCACGATCTCTCACTAAGTTGCTGAATTGTCCAGCCTTGTTTTCTTTCTACCTCTCTTTATGTCTTTGGTCTTACCCGATTCTTTGACCAAGGGAGAAAACTATACTCAGAGCATTAGAAGGAGTCACCCTTGTCAACCCTGGCAAGTAACAAAGGGCTCCAGAGGTTATAAGAGAAGGCTTCACAGACATGATTACCTGAAGCAAAAAGCCTTTCCAGTGGGGGATGGCTACCCCCGGGCTCTGGCCTGGCTCCACCATCTCTAGCCTCTGTTCAGCCTTAAACACCTGCCCTCCTTCCTTGAACCCTAGCTGCCTTTCGATGGGATCCACACATGGATCAATTAATAGTCAACCAGATGACACAGAGCCAGAGGCCCTCAGGATCAAGGACAGGGCTACACAGAGGCAGGGGCCATAATGTATAGGGTAAAATAGCTCTTTGAAAATTGGGGCTTTCTTTTTTTTTTCTTTTTTTAATTTTTAGAAACAGGCTGCTCCCCAGGCCTGTAATCCTAACACTGGGGAGGCTGAGGCAGAAGGTCTAGGCCTCAAAATATAGCTTTCCTCATGCCGACCGTACTCCACATGCCCAGCCCTCCCTGACTCACCCAGACCTGACGACAAGGATTCTTGAGACTAGGTGTGATGGCACACACCTGTAATCCCAGCGCTTGGGAGGCTGAAAACAGGAGGATCACTGCAAGTCCGATCTGTGTAGTAAGACCCTGTACTAAAAAAAAAAAAAAAAAAAAAAAAAAAGAGGAGAATTCTATACTTTCTGCCCTCGGGGCCGGCCAAAGCTTGGTTACCTCTCTGTACTTACACTTCCTGGCTTTTATTACCCCTTCAATAAACCGGAGAGCGTCTGCGTGTTGGGGTGGGAGTGGGGGGCAAGACAGCTGTGCTCTCCGATTTGGCCAACTTGTTTCTACTTTCTTAGGCTTTCACCATCCTTGATTGCAGTGGGCTAATGAACCAGTAACACCGCTTGCACCAGCAGGAGCGCTTAAGTACACTCCTCCTCAGAGAGACAGATTCCTTGCACACCTGCACATATTGGTGGCTACAGAAATTCCAAACATTGAAACAAACCTGGTGTAAAGATAAAGGGCTTCCTTAACACTGGGATAACTACATCGTGATTCTGCAAAGAGGTCTGCAACGCCGTAATTTGGGGGATAAATGTTAGATGCATGTGCAATTTACAAACTCCCTCCTTCAGAAAGCTCTAGAACACGTTTCCTTGCCACACTCAGCGGGTGTCCCGGCAGGCGCCTGTCTCTTTAAGAATCTGGTCTAAGACCTTCTCCCCGCGCGGCCCCACCTCCCCGCGCTACCGGCTTGGCCCGAGCACCCACCCCTTTGTCCTCATGCGGCTGCACTACGGGTCGGACTGCCCGTCCGTCACAGTAGCCTCGCCTCTGATTGGCTGCTTGGGTTTCGGGCCGGGAGGAGGGACGTGAAGGCCGGAGAAACTAGTTTGTTGGCGGCGCCTCGGCGGTTCGGCGGCGGGAGCGCGTCGGGCTGAGGAGAGCGCCTGAGGAGAGCGGCTGAGGGGCGGCGGCAGGCGGAGAGCCCGCGGGGGCGACTGGGGCTTTGTGAGCGCGGCGGGCGGCAGCGCCCAGAGCGGTGAGTGCCCGGGCGGGCCGGGGGCGCCGAGCGCGATCCCCGCGGACTTGTCGC